ATTTATTTGCGCTTTCTTTTTTGACAACCTGCTAGAAAAACGTTTGTCCATCCGGCGACATCGTCTGAAAGTACGCTGAATTTAAATTTTTTTTGTAATTGCTTTGACCAACACTCGCGTTTTGGGTCTCACATGCCTGTTGGAGGCCATTGCCAACGGGGGCGCCATGTTTTACCATATCTATATATACATATATATACATATACTATATATTTAATAGTTCTATATAGCACATGCATATAATGCATTTAGACTGCAGCTACATGCGTCAAGCTGCATTCGAGCTGCACATCGAATGACGCAGTGCTGAAAACTGAAATGGAAAACATGCATATGGAAATGCTGTTGGCCAAATATTTATGTGCATATTGATGCCCTTAGAAGAAGTACCAAAAAGGCCATTTGATGGACCAAAATATATAAAAATAGTTAGCTTTCTGCTGGAGTGCATTTATCTGAGCATATGACTTCAAATAAAGTGGCTTAACATAATGTAAATGGGGGTTAAGCAGAAAGTAAAATGTGAACTAACATATGTAAACTAACAGAAGGTGAAGAGAGTGAAACTTAACAGTGGTTTAACATAATGCAAAGGAAGGTTGAACACTAAGTAGACCCTTGAAAGAATGTGAAGAAACTTAACTGAGGGCAAAAATATGTAAAAAGAGCTCAACGTAGCGTTAAGTCAACCTAAGCAAAAGTAAACTAGGATTAGTATCCTAACAAAACAATAATTAAACAAAAGGAGGGCCTAAGAAAGAGAGTCCTATAGGACAGTAGGCGCTTTATTAAAGTTAATAAGTGATTTAAACAAATCAATTTGTTTTAATAATAGTTTAAGTGTAGTTTGTACCTCAACTAATCACAGTTTCCTCTTAAAGGTAGCTTACATTAACCGAGGCAACAAGAAGTAAAACTTCTATGGGCCGGACTTTAAAGACATTCAATTAAAATTTAACAGAGTCACCTTTACATTAAGAACTTACAAGCATCAAAGGAAGTACCTACTCTCGAAAATCGTAAAGAGGCTAAACGAGAAACCAAGCGGAGACTTTACGAAAGGATTAAAGATACAACAGGATATTACGCACTTTGCAGAGACCTATGCAAAGTTGCGATCGTTAGCATCCCAATCCAATTTGCTTAACATAGACCTTAACATATGTTAAATAGAGGTCCTTTGAAAACTAAAGAGCTCGTTACACAGGTCTTACAGGGGCTTGACAAAGTTCAATATTACTAAAATGTTGCTTACGATATCCAATAAGGTTACGATAACTTTTAAGCAAAATAAAGTATTTCTGTTTTTAGTACAGGTTACCATGAGGCGCTTCTATATAATTCCTATGTAGTATACATTTTCTAAGAGGTCTCTAGATTTCGTAGAATTTCTTATAGTTGTATTTTAAGCCAATTCTGCAAACTTTTTTCGCCTTGTTTTTTCTGTTGAAACACACTATTTTAAACGCAATAGAAAAGTATATTTCGCATAGTTTTTCCCTTACCATTTCCCCACTTCATTTGCTGCAAAAAATACTCAACACTCGACCGTGGCCCATAAATTTCCCACGCAGTTGATTTCCGAGACCAGAGGAAAATGTAAGGCAAATACTTTGCTTTTTGGTCGCTGTTCAAGCAACTAAAGTAAATATTTATTTTAATGCACACTCAGCTCGAACTGTCTCAGGCAGTGTAACTGTGCACACAAAAATACATAGATAGATAGATATATATGTATGTATCTTAACTTATCGTTCGATATTGTCTTGCACAATTTCTTTTAATTTCTTCGGCACGATTGCGTAGTTAAGTTTTCGAATTCTCATTAGACTAAGTTGCCAGCCCACACAGCTGAAGAGCTAGACCGACTCTGACAGACATCAGGGCCGCACCACAACCCGTCCTGCTTGTCTCTCAAAAGTCTCAGTCAGCCCCAACCGTGCCTCGCCCAAAAACCAATGTCGTAACCACAAAAACTTTGCAGCTCCCCAAGACTGAGATGGCAATACGTATCTTGAGCTTGAGACAAAAACTAATGCATATGTTTAGGCATTTTAATTTATATACGACAACCCACCCACACAAACACACACACACACACACACACGTTCACGCACACAGTCAGTCAACTTCTAAGAAAGCTCACACATGCACAACTAACCCCAACCCTTGGCATGCCACCCAACCCCCGAACCCCTCTGCCGCCTTTGCTGCCGGCGTCGTTGATAAAAGCAACTTCCATTTCATTTAAACTACAATTTCCTTGACAGCGCACAGAGGCAACCGCTCAGCTCAGTTCAGTTCAGTTCAGTTCAGTTTAGCTAGGGGTTGGGGCTTGGTCTAGGGGTTGGCAACCCTTTCACGCACTTATGAGTTAAACGCAAATTTTCTTAGCTGCCTTTTAGGCGCTCCGCCTCGTTGCAGAGCCTGAGCTCGTCTGCACAAATATGTCATCGCCAGTTGGCAGGCACCAACACACACACACACACACACACCTACACCCACACCCATACACACACACACACACACTTGAGTCGTTGGTAATTCATTATGCGTGTGCTTAGAGGCTTTTTCGGCATTGTAGTGCTGCGTAGTTGTATTCAAAGACTGCTTTTTGGCGTACCAGACAATAACAACAACAACATCACACACCCAAAACTTAACCCCGTCATACGCCCCCCCCCCCCTCCCCCCTTCACTAACCGCCTTTGCATTGAACTTGTATTTTAGCACGCCCTAGCCCCACCCACTTGCCAATTGAAGCCTCTTGCCTTTTGCTTTTCTTGCAAGATGCCACAGCCCGCATATTTCTGTTGTTAGACTTAGCAACCAGTTAGGCGTGTGTGTGTGAGCATACTTTTAGGCGCTACTATAAAAGGGCTACAGCTTGGCCCACCTAACAAAAACTTCAAAAGAGACTTCGCTGCCACTCTCGAGCATTTTGTGGCAATGGAAATAAATGCTCGGATTTATGTCTAACCTGTGTGTGTGTGTGTGTGTGTGTGTGTGTGGTGTCTATGTGTGCGCGTGTGTGTGTGTCCCTTGCAGGTGTTACTCATACGCCGAGTAGGCTGACAGCTCACAACAAATTGCTTGGCACATCGCGTCCTCCTGCCAAAGTCAAGGTTGCCCTAGGATGAGCTCAGCAGCTTAAGTCAATGCCAGTCTCTAAAGTTGAGCCAACTCCTAAGCCAAAACTTGCACATAACCCATGCACACACACACACGCACACGCACACACACATATTGACTGAGTCCAAGCTGTGCGCCTGGGCTCAACGAAGACTCCCGACGGAGTTGCTCAACTACACAAAAATGTCAGTCGTTTGGTTCCTTTTGCTAGATTTTACCACCCATCTCAAAGCCTGCCAGCAGTCCGGCCTGCTTTCGGGTGGCTGGCCATTGACTTCGTCCACCCACTTCCCCTAGCCAGCCCACCGCCCAGCCTAGCTCCCCAGTTGCTTTTCTTGTACCGTTTTAATTAATGGAAAATTTGTACGTTTTCTTCTTATTCATGTGGTCGTTTCTTCAATGCCTCAAGCAAAGGGTAACTCGAACTAAAAGAAATTGCCAGCTAGCATTGAATACGTAGCTTAACCCCAAAACCCTCCGACGCACCCAAAAAACCTCAACCCCTAAGTCCAAGTCGAGCCAGTTTGGCCTCATGTTGCGCATCTCTTCGACTCTGTTGGCTATTTTCGTTTGACAGTGGACAAGATCCAAATTGCCATTTGGGTTTCTCTTGGCTTGATTACAAAATTGACTTGGGAGCTGTTGCTCTAAGTAAGTTGCATCACTTTTCGTTTGCTTGACAATTTTTGTTTGCTCTGCCTTACGTGAACAATTCAATAGTTCTTTTTCAATAGTAAAAAACCTTTTTTAAAGGAACTGTAGCTTATTCCTCATTTATCTATGCTTGTCTTTGAATTACAATAGCTTTCATTTGGGAAATTCTTATAAAAAACATCATTGCAGAGGAGATTTTATGGGCAGCATTTTTTTGTTTTTATATTTGTGGCCCGGCATGCTAGTTTCGCGCGGCCTCGGCCGGGTAATTTCTTCTAGTTACCTATAAAAAGCAAAAGCTTCCATTAAGGAGCACCCATTAAGCATTCTTTGGGAGTTAAATGTTTAGCAAGCTCATGGCTTTGCCTGCAGGATTTGTAAATCTTTTCATGATTATTCCTCCCATGGAATATTCGACTTATACAGCTACTTTGAGCTAAAAGAAGAAGCTCTAACTCAAAGAACACACCTTATGCTAAGCATAATCAGACTCTTTGACTTGCCAGGTAGTCTAGCTACAAATGAATGTTAATTAGGCGCCGTGTTCAAACTTCATTTTCATTTGCTGTTCCTGTTACGCCCGTTCGAGCTTTCGTTTGTTTTTTTTCGTGCAATGCTTCAACTTCGACTAACATTCAACCAACCGGCCCCAAAAGCAGTCGAGCGGGCGAGCGGGCAACCACTGTCCTGCAACCACAACCGAAGGCAAGGATGCTGCAGGAAGCAGCTGAGGCGGGCCAACGTCTTGGAGTTGAACGAAATGTTTCATTAGAGCAATGCTGGCCACAAATGTCCGAGACCCAAAACGCACCCAAAACACACCACGCCCTCACCCTCAAGATCCTGGCAACTAATTTGCAGCATAGCATGAAAGGAAAGCATTGAGGGAACCAAGAAGAAAAAAACCAATCCGTCGGATAAAAAAGAGACCCGAGCTCGACTTTCATCTTGGGCAGGAAAAACTTTGCCGCTCTTGGCCAGCAAAGTTGGGTGTCTCTGCAGGGAATGGGGGCGTCTATGAGGAAGGAGGGCGGGGGCTTCGCTTCTTTGACGCTTTTTGCGCATACTTTTGAATGGTCTAACGAGCTTGGGGTCTGGCCTCGAAACCTCGACTAATCATTGGGATTTGGTATATCGAACGCAGTCCCAAAACTTTGTGCGGTCATTGAAAGTTCCCAAAATTGAACTTGTACTCATCTAACATGCCCTAACCCCAACTAACCCTCATCTTCTGCTCCCTTCCACAGGAAACCATACCAGCAACACCGGCCACGAGCACCGACACCAGCAGCCTAGTTGGTGTGGGCGGCGGCGTTGCTGGCGGTGGAGGCGGCGGCGGCGGTGGTGGAGGCATTGCCGGCGCCGGCAGCGGACTGGTTGACATTGCCAGCAGCCTGGGCGGAGGTGTGACCAGCGAGTCGGAGGCGTACGCGGGCCTCATGAAGGATGCGGACAAACTGAAGCTGATGCTGCTCGCCTGGAATTATCAGAACTCGACGGCGGTGCGCAATGGCACCGAGGGGCCCGATCTTAGTGTTGTGGGTGGCCTCTGGGCACAGTATCAGAACGCTTTGGCCCAAAATGCCGCAGCGGTGGCGGCGGCCAGCAGCAAAATGGACAGCTCGCTGTCGCCGGTGCCCAGACAGGATGCGCATTCGCCCATGGAGGCGCAGGATGAGACAAACTCGTCGGGGCAGAAAGAGGAGGATGAGGTTTCCGAAGATGATTCCGATGACAAACTGGACGAGAAACTGGCCACCACACACGATCCTGAGCGCCTCAAGGCCTTCAATGTGAGTAATGTGCGAGAGTAAGATAGAGAAAGAGAGAGAAAGAGAGAGAGAGAGAGTCGAATGTAAAGCGAACGTTGCCAATGAAGCCGCCAAAAATGGCCAAAAATTCCTTGAATTGTCTGTGGCTCACGACATTCTCCCCTTGCCTTGCAGATGTTCGTGCGTTTGTTTGTGGACGAGAATCTGGACCGCATCATACCCATCTCCAAACAGCCAAAAGAAAAGATCCAAGCGATCATCGATTCGTGCGCCCGACAATTTCCCGAGTTCAGCGATCGTTCCCGCAAACGTATTCGCACCTATCTCAAGTCGTGCCGTCGCAACAAGAAAACACGAGACGGCTGGGAGAATACGGTGAGTACTGGACAGAGTTATCTATAAATCTATATCTGTATCAATACATATAGCTATATAGACTAAATAAATTCTGAAGCATGGTTTAACTTGCATAAGTCACATTCTCCGCCAGTTTTGCCCTTCTTCCTGGATCTCAAGCTCTGATTTTTATTTTTTGACTTCCTTGCAGACTCGACCGACGCCCGCTCACTTGACCTCCGTGCAGGCGGAGCAAATCCTGGCCATAGCTTGTGAGAACGAATCGATGAACGCGAAGCGTATGCGCATTGGCCTAGAGCCAATTACCCATGCGGTGCCGGCGCCGGGCAGCGTTGTTGCAGCTGCAGCGGCTGCAGCAGCTGTTGCCGGCACCAGCAGCACGTCCGCAAGCAATGCCGCCACCGTCACCTGCACAGCAGCCGATGCGGCTGGATTGAGCAGCGTGCCATTTGTGAGCGCCGTGGGCTTTGCACGCTCCACGCCCAACTCGGAGCACGCGGACGCAGCGTTCGGCGGGGCGGCCAACATTGCCGGCGCTGGCAGTGCTGGCGGCAACAGCGCCAGTGGTGCAGCAGGCGGCGGTGGCGGCACTGGTGGCATGAGCTCGGCGCGTAGCTCACCGCTGGCACTCAGCTCGAATGCCAGCGTCGGGGGCGCCAGTGTGACGGGCTTGGCGCTGGCCAACGGCGCTGGGGCATCGAATGGCACCGGCCTGCCCTCCAGCAGTCCCTATACCACGGACTTTAGCTCGCCAACGGCGGCCTCGCCTTTTGTGGCAGCTGCTGCGGCAGCGGCTGTGGCAGCCGGACGTGCGCCCAGCTATCCCGGCTATTTTCCGGGCGTCGCCGGCCTGGGTAATGGTAAGAAAACATCTGTGTACTATAGTGTGGCATTATTTGCAATGACACCAGCTTAAAGCAGCGTTCAAATATGGGATTGAGTTAAAACAGAGCACTAAAAGCAACAAAGCTTCGACATAAAATTATTGTGCTTGACTTAAATGAGATAGTTATTTAATTAAAAAATATTTAACGACCTTTTTTTGCCGTAAGCTTCTAGAAGAACATTAAAGCTGGCATCAACATGCTTGGAAAGCTTCACTAAGCTTCTTAAGCCAATTCGATAGAATCAATGAGTTCTGAAAGCAGCTAAAAATAATCGAAACTTAATGCAAAATACTTTGAGTGCAGCAGAAAGCTCAGCAAAGCATTTGAAAGCTCTGAGCAAACTTTAAAAATAATCAAAATGCCTTGATAAAAAGCAAAGCAATTGGAAAAAAGACTACAAAATAAACTGAAAACGAGTTGAAAACTTCAGCAGTCAGTTATATGTTGAGCTTTAATCTAAAAATATTAGGCTAAAACCTTAAAACTGTGGGCAAAAGCTTAAAGCTCGGCTTTCAGAAAACCGATAGCCACAAGCTAGCCGGTAAAAAAAATGTTCTAAAGTTTAAAGGCACAGATAGCTTTAAAATGTGTTCACAATTCGACAGCTAATGCAATTAGTGCCTCACTCTAATCCAGGAACTATCCGATTTTAAGCAAGTGTCATTGAGTTATTATCATCATTTTCAGTGGTATTTAATTTAAATAAAAACTCTCGCTAATGTCTTGTTTCCTTCCTCTTGCAGTTACGCCCACCGATCTCTCCATGAAACCAACGTCGCTGAGCGCTGGCAGCGGCCTCGCCGGCGGCAACAGCAACAACAACAACAGCAACACAGTCAGCGCGCAGCTGAGTGCCGCCAATTTGGCAACGCTGAGCAATGCCAGCAACAACAATGCGCTGGTCACCGCCACACAGCAGCTGCAGCAGCTACAGCAGCAACAGCAACAACAACAACAGCAGCAACAGCAACAGCAGCAGCAACAACAGCAGCAACAACAGCAACAACAGCAGCAGCAACAGTTGCTTGCCGCATCCGGCGACGGCAACTGCTCCCGTGTGCCGCCCATTCTTCCACACAAGCTGAGCCCCAACGAGGTGACCGCCGCCCGACAGGTCATCTCGGCGTACCGGGAGAGTGCTGCTTTTCTGCTGCGCACCGCTGACCAGGTGGAGCAGTTGCTCGTTCAGCAGCAGTAGGCGTGGCAAGGGTAAGCGCTCGTGGTGTCGGTGGCGGTGGCGGGTATTGGGGCACTCTTTCTAGACCCAAGCGACGCGTAGCGCGCGCGCGGGTTGTTCCTATTTAAATTTAAATTTAAATTGAATTACACACAGCAAAAGCAGCAGCAACAACAGCAACAACAACAACAACAACAACACACAGCAACTAAGCAAATTAGAAAGAAAAAATAGTCAAAGCATAGAAGAAAAAAAGCAAAAAAAAAACCGAAAACAGAAAATAGTCAAAAAGTTCGTTTTAACAAGCATTTTAAGTGTTTTTTCCTCCAAACTACGTACAGCATATTACAAAATATTATTAACGGTATTTGAGAACAAAATACCGAAGAAAATACCAACAAAATACCAAAATCCAATCAGTAAATATTGCAATTATCAAAGCAGCAAATCAGTTTATTATTTTCTAGTTCAATAGTTCGCAGCAAACATCCCATAAATATTATGTCCCAAGCTTGTCCAACTTAAATTAAGTATTAACTCACTTTTATCAAGAAACTGCTTCCAACTTCATCCAATTATTGCGAGCGCTTGAACTAAAAAATAATTAAACGGATTTTAATTAAAACAAAAAAAAAAACAAAAACAAATAAATAAGAAATCAGCAACAAATTAACTTACTACAGTGTCTACTAAAAGTAAAACTACAATAGCCACACCCAGCACACCCAAAAATATAAAAAACACACACACACACACACACACACACACACACATACACAGACTCGCATTGCGTTCAAGTTTTTGTTGAGATTTTAGAGAAAGATGATTATTAAAATTTTAATGCTCTACGCGGAGCTGCAATTTCCGGCCCAGTTCGAAGTGCGCGATTTGTTAAAAAATAAAACATTAAAAGTAAATATAATATTGTATGTAATTAAGTTGAGGTATTGTTGTAAATTTTAAGGCGTATCAGAAGAGAGAAAAAACACACACATTTTAAGGCAACAAACACGACAAAAAAAAAGGAAAAGACATTATTTAAATATATGGGAAACTAAGAGAAAACACAGGGTGATACTTTCAGAAATTATTACAAAAAAAAAAAATAAGCTAAAAATTAAATAAAAACAATTAAATATGTGTATAAAAAATATAAGGCAAAGGCATGGCATAGACGTTGGTATATGTGTATTTAAAAAATATATATATAAAAAAAAAAGAAAAAAAAAACAAATCGAATGAGTGTATTTCCTATTAAATATTTAAATTTAACTTTTAGCTTATTAGTTTCTTTTTCCAATAATTTCTTAAAGCGGACTTTTCTTTGACATTTTTTATCTGTAGCACTGTTGAATTTTTGATTATTTTTTTTCTAATTTGTTTAAATTTTAATACGCATACGAAATACGAAATAAAATATTTAAATACAAAATAGCCATTAATGTTTTTTGCAACTATAAATGTGCATGTAAAAATAAACACTACGAAAATTAAAAATTAAATTTATAAAAAGAAACAAAACATTAAAAAATCGAACGAGGCGCGAATCGGTTAAGATCGTATGAAAAAAAAAAAACGCTATGCAAAGCAAATTATAGAATTTAATAATATAAATCAAATGCAAAAGGAAACGGTATTTAATCAACAAATAAATGAATATTAATTATACGAAACGATGGGAATTCAGTTCACATCATTTTTGCTGGCCAGGCAAAACGATAATTATAATAACAATAACGAAAATTTATTAACTATAATAATTATGGATTGGTATTTGCATAGAAAAGTAAACTAATTAAAATGTCCGAGAACGCAAACGAAAAAAGAAAACACAAAAACCAAACCAAAACATTTTAAAAGTCGACTTAATAAAGAATTTATGAGAATTATATGTATATTAACCACTTGTTGCATTTATTAAATACTTCCATAAGGGCACCAATAATGGCCATCAAACTGTAACGCATAGCAGCGACACAAACCTTTTCACTGTGTAGTTTGTTTCTGTTGCCCAATTGGAAACGGTTTCATTTTCATTAACTGTAAACTACACATGCAGTTCTCAAAAAACGATGTTTATTAACCGATTCAAATTAGTTCAGTGGCACCTCAACTGCTTTATGATTTAGCATATGCGCAAAACCAGCACAGTCGGCCACAAACTGTTTATCCGTTGTTTCGTAGGTTCAGCATATGCACAAGCCCATAACACAGTCAACCCCAAACTGCACTTCCAATTGCTCTCAGCTTAACACAGTCGTCTCAAAACCCAATGGTTATTCAGCTTCTGCACAAACCAGCCATACAGTGAATCCCAAGCTGCCCAGCACAATATTTTCAGACCACATGTATTCTTTTTCAGCATGTACACACACCAACCGTTTAATACTTTAATGCATATTTACGTAATTTACTGATTTAGTTTATATTTATTAATTATATAAAACAAATAACGCTTTGCATCGACTTAATTACGAAACTTAATTTTAATAAATTTTCGATTGGATTTCACGACCAAACAATAAATTAGATATAAAAATTCTTAATATTAACCCAATTTTTTCGCTGCTCTTTTTTCATTCTAAAAACATTCCTTTTTACACAAGTTTAAAATTGTTTTCTCTTTCACTTAAATTAAACTATTTCTATTTTAATGACTGTTTATGAAAGCGAAAGAAAAAATACAGAAAAAACATTAATGGAAGCACCAAACATTTTTTACACTCATTTCCCATTTTCTGCTTATTTCGTTGTTGTTATTTTTGCACCAATTCTCTATAAGATCGCGATTTCTGTGGCAAGATTTCACAAACAATTTGCTGCGCATGTGATTAATTATGAAAAAATCCCCCCCAAAGTTTGGTCGACTCAACCAAAAATAAACTTAAGCACTAACCACTGCAATAACAAGGCCCACTGTCAAAGCGTGGCCGATCGCAGACTCAAGTCCTTCACGCAAGGACTCCATCCAAAGCATGGATCACACCATTGGTGGCTGGTATATTCGAGGTGACCATCTGGGCATCATTCACTTTGATCTTGCCGGCGGAGGTCTTTTGCAGCACAACTGTTTTGCCCGTGAACAGCGAATCCTTGACCTGATAGAAGCGCATGCCGGCCGAGAAGAGTGCACCAGGCACAATATGCTTCATGGCGAACTCTTCGGCGGCCTCCTTGTCCGTATAGAGCTTCTCCAGCGTATCGGAATCAAGTTCGCTGAAGCTCTTATCCACCGGTGCGAATACTGTGTACGTCTTGACGCCTGGAGATAAAATTGAACCTGAATTAGTTGACATTGACCCAAAACCCAAATCGAAATGCGGGCTCACCTTTACTCTGCAATTTCTCGGACATGCCGGAGGTGTAGAGTATTTTCAGGAAATTGGAGAATCGACCCTCGCGATCCGACTGCAACGTTTGCAGCAGATCACCCACGGGCAGAGGGAACATCACACGATCCACTGCATGGGCCACACCCTGCGGTATCTTAATGTCCTTCTTGTTCAGCACAACCATTGCTCCGTTAATGGTGGTCAGCTAAAATGAAAGTTGGAAGGCGATTCAGATTGATTTCATTGGAGTTCATACACATATAACGCCCTATTTTTAGAGTGAACAATATATGAATCCTAAAACTACATAGAATATGAATTAAATAATTATTTTTGAAAAGCTTTCAAATTACGTTTAAGGTCAAACGATTCTTTTACTTGAGCTTAAGCAAATCCCTTCCGTAAATTTGAGTTGGAAAAGTGTCGGATGAAACACAATATTTTCTACAAAAACAATCTATACTACAAATTGACTAAAGTCTTGTTTTCTAATAATAACTAAATAACTAACTGAACCGAAATGCATCCACCTAACTCTTATAGTGCGGGCTGTGTAATGAGCATCAGCCAGTTAATCTGAATGATTGATTGTGAAGCAGTTCTTAACATCTAAATGCTCTCTTACAGTGACATCATTCCACTCCTGATCGTGCATATTGTACTGATTGACGCGCAGCTGAGTGCCAGCCAGGGACACGCCCGTCATCTCATCCTGCAGCGTGGCTATCTCAAAGGCGCCAGGAATGACATGGTGCAAAAGCAGCTGCAAAAGATAAATCATAGTAAGTGGAAACAAGTGGAAACAGTCTAGACTAGTCCAACTTACACCACTCAGTAGTCGTGGATTGGACTGGAATTTCTCCTCGGCACGCTCGGGTCCGCCCAGCTGGACGAGCAGATTCTTGAATGCCTTGTCCGTCGGCACAAAGATGGTGTAGGGACCCGTTTCGTTGAGTATGCTGTCCAGGCCGCTCTGTCGCAGATATTTAGCCATGGCAAAGAGTCCATTGCTCTTGAGTATCTGCAGCAGATCCTCACTGGGATTCGACAGCACCGAGGCGCCACCTGTAGATGCAGCCTTCTCTGTGTTCTCCGTTTCCTGCACCAAAGCATCAGCATATTGGGCAGGTGTGTGCGGCAATAGCTCCGGCGTTTGTGTAATATCCGCCAGACGTTCCGTTACCACCGGCAAATGCGTGGATACAGGTCCGCTTAGATATGGCGAAGGGGTGACAGGTGAGGAGTGGTAGACGGGAGCTGGCGTTGTGCGTATAAGACTGGCCGCTGCGGCGCTGGCGGTGCTAGTGCCCTCATAACTTGCTGTGAAGCGGGGCGTATAGGGTGAACTGGTGGTGCTAGTTGTGGTTGTCGTGGTACTCGTGGTGGTGCGCGATGGATGATACTGACGATGATTGCTAGGCGTGTTGCGGGAGAAAAATGGCGCTGGCGTGGTGGTCGTGCTGGTGGTAGTGGTTGCTCTGGCTGTGGTGCTGCTTGGTGGTGCGCGTGTGGTTGTGGTTTGTATAATTTTGCCGCTCTTGATCTCGACAACTTCATCGTTGGGCAGGGTCAGACGATAAACAGAAGGCGGCAATTTAATCTCGCCGCTGCGTATGCGCTCCAGAATGCTTTCCACCTCGGCGCCCGTTTGCTTGGTCTCCTTCTCGCCGTTGGCCTTGACACCCTGTATCTTGAAGCTGCCATCGGCCTGCTCCTCCAGGTAGACATAGGTGGCCTTCTTCTTGGGCGGCACTGTGGGCGGTGCCGGCGTTGTCTTGACCGAGTCAGAGCTTAGACCCTCAATCTCATAGCCATCGGGTATGAGGCCGCGCTTGGCCAGCTCCTCGAGCGTGGGCGGATCATCCGAATCGGAGGTTATGACCGCTGAGCTGGCAATGCTATTGGCGCCATTGCTAACGCCTTGAATATCACCAGCACCGCCGCCATACAAGGCCGCCAGGCTGGACAAATCGACGCCGCCGGGCAGCGCTTGAGCGGGCAACTGGTCCGTTTCCTCGGGATCGGGTGAGCGCAATATTTGAACCTTGCCACCACCGGGCAGTAGCAGATCCTTGCTCTTGCTGGGCGCCACATCGCTCAAACCTAGCTTGGACTCGGTGCCAAGTGCCTGCTGGGCCAGCAGCGCCTGCAGCTGATCCTGTGAATAGGCCTGTTGTCCCTGCACCAGATTCGGGTCCGTGGTGCGTATGACCTGCACACGCTGGCCATTGGGCAACACCAGATCCATCTCATCGTAGGTCTTGTTGCCGGTCAGCGGTTGCTGTGGTGCCTCCGACAGCGCCGCCTTCAGCTGCTTCAGCAGATCCTCGCGTGCAATGGTCTTCACGGGCTTTTTGCTGCCCAGCTTCGTGTTGCCAAATTTGCCTAGCTCCGCTTTCACCTGCGAATATATGTTCTTCTTGGGTGTGGTGCTCGCCTCCGTGGTGGTGGTAGTGGTTGTGGTTGTTGTCGTCGTCGTCGGATGCTCCTTGTAGTACTGCTGCAGCGCGCTATTGAACTGATTGTACTCCGTGGGATGGGCAACGGGTCGGCCACGTGGCGGCTGCACATACTGCAGTTGCGGTGGATAGTTGTTGTGCTGGCTGATGATTGTCGGCAGCACGTGCTGCTTGATGGCATGCTGCTTGGCCAGGAACTCCTCGTGCTGTTGGCGCACCTTGTGCTGCGACTTCTCATACTGCTTGGCCACGAACTGCTCGTGCTTCTGTATTAGCTTCTGCTTGTACTCCTGATCGGCGGGCTGTGCCTGCGGAGCATTGCTGATAAACTGATGTTGTTGCTGTGGGAACAGGGGTTGCTGCTGCTGCTGTTGCTGGTAGGTCTCACGTGAGGGTTGCGCAGGGAACGGAGTAGAGGGCAGGTTGTTGAAGATTTGCGGCAGTGGCAGACCCAGCTGTGGCGTCAACTGATATTGCTGCTGCTGCTGCGGCTGCTGCTGCGGCTGTTGTTGTTGCTGTTGCTGCTGCTGTTTTGCCAAAGACTGTTGCTGATAGTTGAACTGGGATTGGTGCTGCGGCTGCTGCAGCGTCTGGAAGGTCGGCACGGGCGCCTGACTGGGCAGCTTCTGTGTGGTCTGCTGGCCAAACTGTTGAGCTGCTGGTTGCTGGTAAGCAAATTGCTGCTGTTGCTGCTGCTGTTGCTGATAAGCCTGAGCTGGAAAAGCGGTAGATTGCAGGCGTCCATCGGGGAATTGCTTGTGGCGTGGGGGCTGCTGCTGCTGCTGCTGCTGCGAGCTAGCAAAGTTGCGCAAATCCAAAAAGTTCTGATGATGCAGGTCAAGATTGCTGCCAGCTGAGGGCAACTGTTGCTGCTGCTGCTGTGGATATTGTGGCGCAGTTTGCAGTTGGTTTTGCGTGGAGCGCTGGAATTGCAGATTGTTGTGGGGTAGTTGCTGATGCTGCTGCGGCTGCTGCTGCGGCTGCTGCTGCGGGTATTGCTGCGCGAAGCGATGTGCCTGCTGGTGATGCTGCGGCTGCGGCTGCTGTTGATGATGATGATGATGGTGCAAGTGCTGCTGGCGCTGTTGCGCTGGTATGGGCACCTCCACGCCTGGCTGCACAAAGTTCTGCTGGTTGTATTGGTGCTGCAGATTCAGTTGACGGCGATGCGCATTCTGAAAAGGCAGCGGTGGCGGCGGCTGTAATGGAGGGGGGTGTAAATTATAGTTGAGGCAAAACATTCGTTATTGAGAATTTATAACACTGATAAACTGTGTCCGACCAACTGTTACTATAAGAGCTACTTGATCTATTGGACCATTCTGTATAAGATTTTGCTCATACTCATGTTAAACAAGTAAAAGATTCTCGTCGGGAGTTCCCGGCTACGATATACCCGGAACCATCTTATTCGTTTAAAAAAGAGTTATCTTGGCAGGGTTCGAAACCTCAACTAAGCGCACTACTTGCCGCCTTCTCTACCCACCAGCCACAACACCCAAAAAAAATAAAAAATTGATTCCTCGGTAGGGCTCGAGCTTGCGACAGATCACACTTTACAGGCCTTTACTTTACAGAAACAATGGGGGAAAAACGAATTAAAATAGCAGCACAGAAAACAATACAATCGCATTTGCAATACTGTTAATAGAGTTCGAAACAGACGCGTATAAATGTGTGTGTGTGTGTATATGTATACAAAAATTCTTGAAATTTGCGCTAGCTGCCGCAAACAAGTGTTTCTTAACTCATCCTAATGAAATTTTCCACAGTATCCTATTGTACCGTACTCTCAAAACTAAATAGCAATAAAATTGTAGCCTAAATTTGTGGGCAATTGGGTTATTAACTTGAGGACTATGATGGCGATAGGAATAAAGTGATACCATTCTAGAAGTAACATATCATATTTGGTGACTCTAGCTCTTATTATTTACCAAAATGTCTAAAAACACAGGATTTCGGCATCGATTCTTATCGATTACTTGTAAACGGGGCAAGTTATCGAATATCGGAAACAAACTCGATCTGTGCGGGACCTAGGAGGACCTACAATTTATTTCAAGTGTCTAGTGTTTACAGGTTCTGGATCCTTTCATTCAGACATGCGGACGGACGGACGCCCAGACAGACAGACGGACTTGGCTAGATTGTCTCGGCTATTGATGCTGATCAAGATATAACAAGAACTTAAGTAAATAAATAAATCATTACTATAAAAATACACTTACACGAATACATAATACCCTTTTGACCCATTTTCAGGGTATAAAAAAATTTGAAAGACAAAACGATTTTCGACCGTCTCCGAAAATAAACTTCAACAAAAAGACGCTTAAATTTAAAATACCCTTTACAACAATAACGGGATTATACATTTCTTGTTACATCATGCGCTATTTACAATAATCCCCTAGCAAAACCAGACCTAACGCCAGCGAAAATAAAAACTGGCACAGAAAATGGTGCCATCGACTGATCGAAAGTGGGCTGGTCCCCGCCCCACAGCGGCAATCGCCTTGCAGATGTGAACCAGTTTTCGCTTTTTGTTGGCCAATGTCTGCTCCATTTTAGATGGCAACAACAAGATTAGTGCGTTGGCCTGCTGGGGTCCTGCGCATCGTCTACAAAAAGTAGTGTCAAAGTCAGTGAAAAAACCAGTCTAACTCTTGTGTATATGCCCGCAACCATATTTGTATTGCACTCAAAGCCGATCTCAACAAATAAAAAGCGAAAGTTCGCGAATTACGCCACAGGAAATATATTTAATTGATGCGCAATCGTATTCCGTTCTTTTGCATTCCACTGCATACACACTTACACACTTATGTACATCCATATGTAGCAAAACATGTAGTGAAGTCAAAGTACCGTACACACACTCACATACACTTGCAAACAAAATGCGAAGCAAGGCAATAAAAATGGACGCAAAGTGAATTCCGAAATTCGAAAAACGCAGAGAGAGAGAGAGAGTAGAAGGTGCGCTCAACAAAATATGTGCTGGTTACTCTCTTTCTTATTCGCTGCGGCTGCGCATGTAGATGAAATTTTTCAAGTGCGTATGTTTCTGTTAAAGAACTGTTTTGAGCTAAAACTAATTATTTGGAAATTAATTAATATTTATCAAGTCCAATTATAAGTAATTACATCGAGCTCTTCAACATATTTTACCTTGCTTAAATTTTACTATGTGAACAAGTTACTAGCCTTGACCCAATATCGAACTTGTCTGGCACATCGATAACTATTTGAAACGATAACTATTAGTGAAACAGTTTTGTTACGTTTTGTAACAAGATATTAATAATTTAGTTCTTACTATATAAAAATTACTAGTTTTTCCGATCGTAACGGATGTGCGGAAAAAGAGAGATTTTCAAGAAGCCGTCAAATTGTGTCGCAGTTAACAATAAAGACATTGAGTTACGCCGTTTGCTTCCTCGGAAAGTGTGTTGCAATAGACAAATTTCTTTTGTTTTTCTTCAATTGCAATTGTAAATCGTCGCTGGGGATCGTTGCCTGGGATCTTTTACAGAGCTTATACAAGCCGAGGAGAGGCTCAAACTGCTTGGCATACGCATAGCTTACGCATCCAATTGGAATGGAATGATGCGGCACAAAGACAGGCAAAAACAAAACACAGTAAAAAACGACTACACAAACAACAGCATAATAACAAAAATGTTAAACTACAGTTATTCAACGAGAAGATGGTGGGGCAGGTGTAGTAGTCGCAGATGGTTGGGTGGAAGGGGAGGGGCATAGACTTATAAAATGCTTAGCAGCATGCATAATTTTTATTGCCCAGACCCATAAATCTTATGGCTTTTGCATTATCTTGCGACATTTGGGATGCGTCTGCAAGATTTTCAAAGTTGTATGCCTTTTATGCCGTACTCCCGTACTCCAGCGACCCCTTGCGCTTCAGCCTCCGCTGCCCTAACCGCTTTTTCTTTTCGCATAGTAATCGTAATTATGTTGTTGCCGCTAATGATGCAGCTCATCATCGGCAGCTGCTGTCAAAGCTGCCAATCGCGCAGCTGATTATGCAATGCCCCACGTAATGCAGCAGCTCCTGAGTTTTTCTTTACCCGTGAAGCCAAATATTTGTGTGGGTTAAGTTTTCAAAGGGTTTCTCTGGTTTTTGCTTAAGCTGCTTTATTCTCTAGAGTTTCGCTTAAAAACTTAATCTGTAAATCAGAAAGACAGTCGTAGGTCTTCAGTACGTTGATTAAAGGAAACAGTCAAATGGTTGCTTGCTTTGTCCGATTCTTGAATACATTTTTAAATTTTCGTATAAAGCCTCAATATTAACAAGAAAGAAACTTTTTCACAATGAAAATAGTTAATAATAATGGTTAAATTTCCATACAGCAAATTATTTTTCGACCGATCGTTCCTATGACAGCTCTATGATATAGTGTTCCGATTCAGCTGGCTCCGACATACATATCTACTGCGTGCAACAGAAAGAGGAAGAACAGAAGAAGGCCTTAAAACTGAGAGACATGTCCCTATCGACTCAGTTGTTGATACTGATCAAGAATATATGTATATACTTCATGGAGTTACACAATTACCGACAAGGGTATAACATTACTTTTTTATAGATAGTACTACATTAGGTTTGTATTTCGCATATTGCAATTTACATTAGCTTTTATATAAAACAACGGAAGTCTATTTGCATTTGTATATAATAAACGATTTTTTTTCTACGTTTTTATCTAGCTATAACCTTTCCTGCGTAGTTTCTATCACAGAAAGCTAACCTATCCCAAGCGAGTTAAAGACCTAATAGGTCAGCGTTCGGTGACTTCTCGTGCATCTGCTTCTGTTGAAAACATTTTTCACACAAAAGATACTTTTTTGAAGATTTTTCTTCGGCTTTCGACATAAAGTTTCCCTCACATTTGTTTCTTTATTATTTTTTTTTTTTTTGACAAATTGCGCAGCTGGTGAAAACATCAATCAATCAATCATCAATCAAGTGCCCATAAGCATTGGCACTGTAATCAGCCAAACAGCCCAGACTCTGCCTGTAAAGACAGACAGTGAACTCCCAACCGAAAGGGTTCCATTATTTCGTGTCATATTTCATAGCTGTGGAACGTTTGTAACATGTTAATTTCACGGCTTGGCGTATTTACGCTCGCATGCAAAGCGCTTTCATTTCTCTTCGTTTCCCTTTCGTTTCCCTTCCTCTTCCCCTTCACAATACCAGGCCCTTTCCATGGGCGCTACGCATGCGCCCCGGCTAATACACCTGAGCAGGTGTGCAACTGCTCGTTGTTGTGGTTGTCACATGCCAACACGAGACACACATTAGCGGTGTGCGCTGTGGTTGTCGACTGTGGGTTGCCCGTGTGCGATTGAAGGTGTCAATGGATTGACATTTTGAGAGTTGCTGTTTCTTCAAATTGAGCGGTAGATCAGCAAATCAACCAAAACGGTGGCCATGCTCAACACAAAAGTCAATTAATCTTACGATTTTTGATTGTTTCTGATTTACTTTTTGTGCTGTTGAGTGAAATTGGTTTTAATGATTGGCAGTTGGGATTTTCATGAGGTCGCACGAATTAGCCGATTGGCTGTGTACAAAAGATATTGTTCAATGATATCTATATGTATGTCAATTAAAGTAAGATGAGCAATTGATTCAATTGTTTCCATTCTAATTTGTTTTATTTCTTGTATTTGCAGTGTAACAATATTACGTTGGGTCTTGTTGTTCGAGGTAATGTGAGTTTTAATTCATAATTAACTTCTCTTGTTATGGTACTAATTATTGTGTTTTATTTTAGATTTCGTATCTTTTGGATGGCTGACAAAAAGGTGATTTAAATAATTTTATATAAGGTAAGCTATATAGATGTGCTTGCTTTATATATCCACATCTAATACTTGCCAATGGTCTGTGGGCTTTCAAAGCTTACGCTTTTATAAAGGTCAACAAAAAGTTAGGCAAGGTCGTTAAGTATTGCATCGCATTGCATAGCTTTTGTAGCCTCTTCTGTAAAATCTCGTTAATCTTGCAAGTCTAGTCTAGTCTCTAGTCGATATATAACTCTATATATGGACAACAAAGAAAGTGCCAACACAGAAAGTAAACCTGATTCATGTTCAATGTGCCCAGATAGTATTTTTTATTACGAAAGCGTTGCATATTAGAGCTGTCATATCAAATGAGCATTATGCTAATGAGCAAAGATCAGACATGAGATTGGAACATGTACAGACATGGAAAAAAGGCAGCAGTAGAAGAAGTGAAAACAAGTTACAGCATTTATGATAGAAATACATGTTTCTTTTTCTGTATTGGGGCGTTGATCCATAATGTTATAACTGTCAGTTAGACGCGGCTTTAGCTCTGACTAATTTGTTAATAGGTCATAATTGATTTCACATCACACATCAGCAAAAACAAGAAACAAAGTTCAGTTAACGCCGCGTCAGATGAGCCTCAATGAAAAAAAAAGCGGCCAAACGAAAGCGAAATCTCAAAATCGAAATTTCTTTTCGTTTTTGTTTCGTTTTGTGGCTTTTTGAGTGAAAGTGATTTGCGCACACTTAGTGAGCATTTATGCGGTATATGTTAATCAGAATATAATGCTCCCAAGCCAAATCAAATCGGAATGTCGATCGCTTAGCTAAGTCAGCTATGAAGTTGACTAGGTTAATTAAGTGCTTGAAGCAATAAATTCTTCAAATGCTCAGTTAACACTCTTGCGCAATAGGCCATGGGTATTTAAACGCGTCTGCGTCTCACAATTTCAGTTTCTGGCCACAACGTCAACGGCCAATGGCATCGAAAACTGTGCGACTTGTAACCAAGTGGCCTCGTTTGCCGCTGCCTTTCGTATTTCCTGTACAGGCCCCTCTCCTGGGCATTGTACTGAATTTGATTTTTCGTGTATGCAGACTTGCGTCTGCTTGCCTGCTGCTTGCTTTTTTGCTACCGGCTCTTGACTTGTCTGGTTAGTTGTTATTTGTCTTCGTTTTTATATTTTTTTTTCAGATTTTTATTTCTAGGGCGCCTGCATTTTTGGTCACTTGTGGAGTTTTCAAGGTTCTTTCTGCTCAGCTTGCGCTGAGTCTGCGAGTGCATTTATTTCTTGTATTCTGCTGTTAGCCATGTTTTGTAATCTACAGATGCACATGTCGTAGTTAGAACAGATTTCTTTTTTTGGGTAAAATTAATGAGCATTTGCTTGGTGCTGAGTTTACAATTTTTTCTGTTTAAGCAATAATTGGCTGTTCTGAATTAAGCTTGTTAAGTGCTGTCGAAAAATCTTTAAAAATTGTACTTAATTATTTCTGAATCAGTGTGTAGACAGTGAGAGCTCATGAGATATAACACTTCTTTATGTCCTAATGCAAACTTTTTATTAGCTGCTAAGAGATTATTTCAAGCTGCAGTTTGTTACAAGTCGTAGATCTTACACATATTTTGGATGAAAATTCTCTCAGTAATCTCCGTTCTCACACTCATTTGCTTCAATTTTTTGGGTTAATGAAATTCTGAATACATAAAACTTATGATCTTTCATGTTTACGCTGTCGTGAGTACTTGATGCTGAAACTCATTTGTGCTTTAGTCGCGAATGTTTTCCCAATCTATCATTCTCACGCTTTTGCGTTTCTTATATATAAATGATCCTTGTATTGATCTTTGATTCGAGTTCGCAGCGTATCGCATAGGCTCCCAATTTAATTGTTTTCAAGAGTCTGTCTGTTTGATTATTCTTTGGTGTTGCTTTCGTAACTGATTTTCCAACCGATGTTTACAATGTTGCTTTACTGTTTGTGTACGCCTAATGCTACCGTGTAAAGGTGTTAACTATTGCATCTTTGTTTCGCAATTTTAAGAAATTATCTTTTGACTATCCAGAATATTCCTGAGGCTTGTCGTTCAGTATCCCCCAGCTAAATGCTGAAGCAACTGAAATGAGCATTGAAACTTATTTTCTGGTCGATTACCTATTGGTAGTTGTGCAATCGCTCTGAATTAAAGTGACTCGACTTGTAAATAGTCAATGGCTTATCGCAGATCGTAACGCTGAAGCTTAACTCAGAGATCGTGCTCACATCATTTTGATTGAATCTGCAATGAATATGCATTTAAATGGAGATCTTCAAAGAACGACGACAGCTGAGATTTCTGTCAATTGGCCAAGAGAACTGGTTGGCCGCCTCTTTGGCCGTGTGTTGCCACACAGTATAAAAATGTGCATAATAAGCATTTGATGTTTGCTTTGGTTTTTTTGTTGTTGTTGTTTGTTTGGTGTTGACCAATCTTAGGATTTGGCAATTGGCCTTTCACTTTTGTATCGACAAATGGCTGCAGTTAGCAAATGCCGAGCCCAAGACAAGCTAAAGTTAACAAAAAAGGCGCCCGCAACTAAAGGCATTTTAATTGCCTACAAAATAGTTGGCGCTCTACGCAAATAAGTAATTAATTCGTGGCTGCACAAGAAGAATGTACGGCAACAACAGTATCTGAAAGAGAAATTTACATAAAATTGTGTAATTAACCGAAATTTAGTCTGGCCAAAAGTAGAAGAAGCAAAGGCAGCACACACAAAAAATGCCGTTCAGCAACACCTACAATCGCGTCCAGTTAAGGCGCATGGGGCATGAGGCGCATCGCATCGCCTCGCCAGCCGGTCACATGAAAGCGAAAGAAGCCCACCCTAAAAAAACACCAACAACTATAAATCGCTGCCAGCAACTGAAACAATTGCAAGCACAACACAATAACAATAACATGTCCAGCGGCTAACACCAACAACAACAACAACAAGAAATTTATTTAAGCAACGCTTTGAAAAAGAAACTTGGTCAAAAGTTGTGCCTGATATTATCGCCGTTCCGTCAGTCCGAGATGCCGGTGTACGAAAATGCTCGTAAGACTGTTTATAAATTAGCACAATTTGTCTTCGTGTTGTTGTTGTTGTTATTGTTGTTAATTGTGGGCAATAACGAGTGAAAAATGCGGCTGCACACTTACTCTTTATTGGGTCTAGTCATATTTAGTTAATTCGTCGTCTAAGCAATTCAGGGGAATAAGAGAAAGAATCCAGCGATGAAAAATAATGTTTATTTCATGTTCATAAATACTATTTCTTATTATGACGGAAAATTAAAAAGTTTCCTGAATTATGTTTACTGAATATCCTTGACTGAGAAAGAAACTTAACAATATTTTATCTAATTGTTCGAATAACATATTTTTAGAAGTTCTTCTATTCGAAATTCGAATGAAGCCGTAGCTTTATTGTTTTTAGATTAAATTATGAGAGTAAAGATTATAATATCAAATGCATATATTTCATATTCTGATATACCAAAGAGTTATAATACTAAAAACAAAACAGCTATATAAAGTGAAAATTGCGATAAGAGAACTTCATAAGTATAAAATTCTATCATAAAATGATATACATATGAATTTGCGTTTTGCAAAATCAGGTTCTTTTTAAGTACATTCCTCTATAATATGGCCTTTCTTTTTATTTTTAAATAGAAAAATACAATCGACAGAAAGTTTTTCTGAGTGTATGCAAATCTTTATTCATCAACTTCAATCAACTCCAAGATCCCTCGTAAAAACCAAGGAAAATGACGATTAACCAGCATTGCCTGCTGTCAAGTTGGCTTCAATTTAACCATCAGTTGCTGCTGTTGGTTAATTACAACTTTTGCATCTTGAAGATGCGAAAACCGTGGCGCAAGTTGTACAGCGATTGCATAAGAGCTGCCTGTAGCAACAGCATCAGCAAGTTGCAGCTAACAATTAACGCAACCAGAAACTTTAACACTTGCCATACAAAGTCGCAGGCAAACTGTGTGTGTGTTGCACATTGAGTTGACTAATTGAATGCGCCGCATGTAAATTAGCTGGAATTGGGCTAAAATGCCAATGGCCAAGAGCCAGCGGCCAGTCAACAGTTTCCTGGCATCACCTACGCGGGCAACCCGCATCTGCTACCATGCTTCTGCCATGTAGCCATGTTGCTGGTAGCATTCGCAGCTGTTGCTGCTACCTGAACTCATATGGTATGCCTAATTTGACACACACTGACACTTTTTACGAGCCGCATGAGATTTATGGTATCATTAGCGTCGCTTCTTAGCCGACTTTGTATCTTTCTGAGTGGTTTAACGTTGGCGATTGTAATTTAAATAAACCCACTTTTTTCGGTCAGTCTTTAGTTGCATGTGAAAATCGAGGTTTATATGCCAGTTAATTTAAATGTTCATATAGCTAATTGCAATTGTTTGTTTCTATGCACGCTTCTTCTTGAATTTTTTGAGATGCGCTTTAATTTTTTCGTTTGTTTTTTAAAAGATGAAAGAAAGTGCTTATGATTAGCGGATATATAAGCAAAGAAGAGAGAAAGGAGAAGCACCGCAGTTCAAAAGGGCAGCTAGTTCATAGAAAGTTCGTGAGGGTGGTCTAACTTAATTCTAAATTGCAATGGAAATTCAATAATAAATAGGTATATTATAATTTAAAAATCAAATTAGGCAATGCGATGTGATCAGTTGTGATCCGAGGTAGAATAAAACTACTGTATAGGTAGAAGCATAATAAATAATACTAAAAGCCAGCATAAAAAAATATTAAAAAGTGGAGGGAACTCATCATTGCATAAACTCCAGGTGTAGAAACTAGAATTATGAACAGTAAAATTGAAATGAAATGAATAAAATTGAAAATCACAAGCGAGGTGTTCTAAGATGTTCACAGTGGTAGCTCTCAAGCACTAATTGAAAAATAAATGTGTGTACAATGATCAACTAAACACGCACTAAGCTCTTTGCTGACAATATTGTTAAATGTTTTTAATATTTTA